AAAAAATGACAAAAAAATCGTCAAAAACTGTTTTTTAGTAAAACAGATAAAAGATATGTTCTCATGGCATTTAGGTTTTGTAAACAAGAAACTATCGTCTCGGTGCAGTATTATGTAAAATATAATCGCGATTGGTTAATTCGTTTGTTAAATAAGGCCGGTACCCCGTCTTACCCGCTACCCCGTCTTGTCCCACTCTCCCCTAGTAGGTGATAAATAATTAATATTTTGATATGTTAGTCATTTATGAGGTTATGTACACCTGAAGGCATACATTTATTCTCAACGCGCATACATTCGCATCTGCGCAAACAAAAGTGTTGAAGGCCCCTTACTTATGTGGCGCACAGTGGGGCAAATAGCACTTTTCAGGGACAAAAACCTGGCGCTCTTACAATTTTTAACGGATTTTGTTAATGTTTTTTTAAAAATAATCTTGAGTTTCCACAGAATACAATGCGTCTGCTAATAATTTATTTAAATTAATTGTTTGTTTATTTATTTATTTAACAACAATGTAGACAAAAATTATTTTCTAACTTATTTGATAGACATTTAATGTCCTAAATTTGAATTTCACTTAAAATTAACATTCAGAGATATAGTTAAACATAATTAATCAGTTTATACTCACGAGAATGGTAATAAAAAATGTTAATATTGTTATAAACAAATTATATAAACAAATTATTAATTTGAGAAATGACTGCCCTAGATTTCGATAAAACTGATTACTTAAGGGTTTTTGAGGTCGCTGATTACGAATCTGAAGTTTGTTTTTCAAAATTCAAAATGGCGGATCCAATATGGCGGACGACATTTTTTAAAAATTATTGAACTCACATGAAACATGTTACTCGGGGGGTTTTAGTAATTGTTGATTACGAATCCGTTGTTGGTTTCTAAAATTCAAAATGGCGGATCCAATATGGCGGACGACATTTTTAAAAAATGATTGAAGTCACATGAAACTTGTTACTCGGGAGGTTTTCGTGGTTGCTGATTACGAATGTGTTATTTATTTTTCAAAATTCAAAATGCTAGATCTAATATATAAAACGACATTTTTTATGAACAATTCACTTCATTCGAAACTTGTTGTTACAAAGGGGTTTTTTTTGCTGTTGATCACAAATTGGCTATTGGATTTTAAAAATTTGAAAGCGTGTTTTCAATATATCAAAGGAATTATTTTTAAATTATTTAATTTTGCATAATAAGGTTTTATGAATTAAATATTTTATAAAACATGTTTTAATTTTTAAAAAAGAACCCAGTAAAAAAAAGTATTTAGAATAAAGAAAAAGTATTGGTGGAGACGTTCGGTAAATGCGTTTTCGCGACAAAACCGTATTGGTTGGTTACAGTGAATACATTTGGCTTACCGTGAATACTATTTTTTTTAACTTTTGATTTAAAGAATCCTAAGCAAAGTTGAGAATATTTATAAAGATCGTAAGTGATTTGAAGTATAAAAATGACTATTGCGGGAAGGAAATAAGAAATTTTGAGAAAAAAACGAAAAATTAAATGTTGTAGGTTTGGCACATTTAATTTTTCGTTTTTTCTCAAAATTTTTTTATTTTCTTCTCGCAATCGTCATTTTTATACTTCAGGTCACTTACGCTCTTTATAAATATTCTCAACTTTTCTTAGGAATCTTTAAATCGAATGTTTAAAAAAATGTATTCACAGTAAGCAAAATGTATTCACCGTAACCCACCAATACGGTTTTGTCGCCAAAACGCATTCACCGAACGTCTCCACCAATACTTTTTCTCTATTCTAAATACTTTTTTTTACTGGGAAATAATCACAATGTATAATTAATGTCGTTTGCCATATTGGATCTGGCATTTTGAATTTTGAAAAACAAATAACAGATTCGTAATCAGCAACCACGAAAACCCCCCGAGTAACAAGTTTCATGTGACTTCAAACATTATTTTAAAATGTCGTCCGCCATATTGGATTCGCCATTTTGAATTTGGAAAACAAACTTCAGATTCATGATCAGCGACCTTAAAAACGCACAGAGTAACATGTTTCATGTGAGTTCAATCATTTTTTAAAAATGTCGTCTGCCAAATTGAATCCGCCATTTTTAATTTTGAAAAACAAACTTCAGATTCGTGATCAGCGACCTCAAAAACCCTTAAGTAATCAGTTTCGTCGAAATCTAGTGCAGTCATTTCTCAAACTAATAATTTGTTTATATAATTTGTTTAGGACACAAAATGTCTATCAAATAAGTTAGAAAATAATTTTTTATCCCACATGCACAAAAAAGGCGCTTTTAGATAGCTGACAACAGGGAGGAAAGTCATTTATTTCTTCGACCGTATGAAAATAGCGGCCGTTTTCATGCAAGTCGAACAAGTGAATGACTTTTACTCCCTGTCGTCTGCTATCTGAAATCGACACTTTTGTGCATTAGGAATAAAAAATATCGTAAGTAACACGAGAATAAAGGTCTCGGGGCGCCTATGGCGCCCTCGACCTCCACTCGTGTCACAAAAATCACCGTAAAGAAATGGCTGCCTTCATCCTCTTGTTGCTTAATATATGTACTATTTCGACTACATTGTTGTTAAATAAATAAATAAACAATTAGTTCAAATAAATTATTAGCAGACGCATTGTATTCTGTGGAAACTCAAGATTATTTAAAAAAAAAAATCCGTTAAAAATTGTAAGAGCGTTAAATTTTTGTCCCTGAAAAGTGCTATTTGCCCCACTGTGTGGCGTGACGTAAATAAATCCTGACAGTTAGAGTGGGGAGTTAGACTGTTTCTCTCACTCTCACTGACCCCACTCTTGTCAGAAGATTACTTTACATCACGCCACAAGCTGCCCCGTGAAAACTCAATCTATGTGATCCTAATCTTATCTCTATATAAGAACAGTTCAAATATTTTAATAAAAATCTTTCAATTTAACTTTAAGGTAGTATTATAGTTCCTGTCGATCAAAAAATTGATTTTTTTTCCTTTTACTTTTATGTTCTAAATTATCTGAAGAATATAATTCTCAAATTATAGATTGAAATTCGAAGAAATAAAAAAGTTATACACAAATTAAGGTAGGAAACCGATATTAGAAATGATGGAGATGATGAGAATCTCCATTGGACCCATAGCTGTTGAATTCGTTGAATATAAGGACGAGCATCGGATAAAACTAGCAGAAAAGCGTTTCTTGAAGACAATTAACAGCGGTCGAATCCTGGCAAAAAAGTTTGCCAAGTAGGAGAAGAAGAGGCTTTCGAGATAATACATGGGTTGCTTTATGGACTGGAAATCGGATGTTCCTGAGAAGCTGTAGCTTGTACGCAGATTGATCGTTCATTTTTTATCTCTATTTTGGCGCTCTCTAGTGATGAAACTAGCATAGTAAAACACAAATTTTTTATTTTTGACAGGCAAAAATGTCAATAATATGATGCAAAAAGTTAAATTACTTTAAATAAATTTATTACCGAGAAAAAAATGTTGTTTTAACTCATTTTTTACTGCTTACAAACTATAATACTACCTTAAATAAGTCAATTTTTGCTGTGATGGATAAATTCTATTATATATTTTTAAAACATAAGTAGGCCATTTAAGGCTTTTAAATACAATCAATATTATTAAGTTAAGAATATGCTTAAAATTTGAAGCTAGTTGTTTGAATCCACTTTTTGTACTTGTGAACATCAAAATTGTTATACATTTAGAACCTTCCACGTCAACATGGACACAATTCCAAACAAAAATTGCTTTCATAGATTTAAACACATTCGTGTACTTTAAGATGCCAATGGGCGTTTTTCGACAATTTCCATTTTCGATGACAATAGAGCTGTCAAAAAGTTCAAAAATCTTAAAATACTTTTTTGAATTATAAGCAAAAGACTAGGTAAATTATTCTGTAACTTATTCTTTTAAGGTCCCCAATAATATAAATCTAAAGTTTTTTTTAAAAGAATCCAAAATGGCGGACAAAATTCAAATTTGATTAGATTCGATTAAAACTTGTTACTCGGGGGTTTTTTAGGGTCGCTGAAAACGAGTCTGAAGTAACTTCTTAGAAATTAAAAATGTAGGATTCAATATGGCGGAAAAAATTTCAAATTTGATCCGATTCCTTTAACGCTTGCAAAGTTTTTCTGAGGATATCAAATTGAGACAAAAATCGTATCAAAACGTTGCTTCGAAACAATTTTGATACGTTTTTTGTCTCAATTTGATATCCTTAGAAAAACTGTGCGTAATAATAACAAATTGTTTACATTATAAAACAGTATGAAACTAGAATTTCTTTAAAGTGACTTCAGATTCGTAATCGGATACCCTAAAAACCCCCGAGTAACAAGTTTTAATTAAATCTAATCAAATTAGAAAATTTGTCTGCCATGTTGAATCCGACATTTTTAATATCTGAAAAGTGACTTCAAATTCGTAATCTGTGGCCCTAAAAACCGCCGAGTAACAAGTTTTAATAGAATCTGATCAAATTTTAATTTTGTCTGCCATATTGGATCCACTATTTTGAATTCTTTTAAAAAAAACTTTAGATTTATAATCAGGGACCCTAAAAACTGTTAAAGAATGAGTTACAGAATAATTTACCTCGTTTTTTGTTTTTAATTCATAAAAATTATTTTGAGATTTTTAGACTTTTTAACTTTTGACAGTTCTATTGGCATCGAAAATAGAAATTTTCGAAACGCGCCCATCGGAATCTTAAAGTACACGAATGTAGAAATCTTTTAAGCCCTAGAATGTTTAAATCCATGAAAGCAATTTTTGTTTGGAGCTCTGTCCGTGTTGACGTGGAATTTCCCATTCACAAAATTTCAATGTTTTGATATAAGATATCAAAATATCATTGTATATTTACATAATACAAGTATACAAATCCATATAAGTGTGCCTACAAATTATTTTAAAACATTCTTAATCTTATAAGTTAAAAGTTCTGTGGATTTTCCTATATATATACACGTCTTTACATACCTCACTATCATTAGAATGTAATCTCAAAGTGAAACCAGGCAGTAAATTAATTTCTCGATTGACATCTTCCATCGCTAGGTTGGCAGCTGGCATACAAGACTGTTGAAAATGAATATTTATTCTATTGATAAATAATGTATAAAAATAAATTTTTATTTATTTATTTATACGAAAAATTCTCGCAGTCACAGTTCATCGCAGTATGCTTTGAAAAAATCAAAATTACTATATTTTGGTAACAAAGAGCTTACGATCAGAACGTTATGTAAATTGTTTCTTGAATATTATTTTTAACAACTTGTGATTCTAATCCTTCTATTTGCGAATCGTCCTATTCTAAATACATAGACCATTATTTAAATTTTAGTTTCTCAGAACCTCGCACTGATGTGTGCAATTTTCGTATTAAACATCGGCACAGTCCCGAGAATATAGAATTTAAAGATCATAAAATACGTATTGCTCATCACAAGATTTTAAAACAAAGTTTATTATGCCATAATGATGCGTTGTGCTTAGAATTTGGTTTCCGTCAAAATTTACAATTACCAAAAATCCCAGTAAACGAACAGTATTATATATGTCTGATTTCTTTAAATGTTTTAAATATTCACACATTCGGTGAAAACTGACAGAAATAGCTATATGTATTTTTTTATCGAAAATCAACTGAAAAAGGGTGGTAATACAATTTTTAATTTTTTATTTGATACCATAAAACGCGAGCTTCAATTAAATCATTATAACAAAATTTATTTATTTTTGGGTAATTGCGGTGGCCAAAATAAAAAATACTTATTGCTTAGCTTCCTTACATTATTATCACAAAAATTACAACTAGAGATTCAAAAATTCTACGAATGTCACCAATTCACGACTTAAAGCCTTTGAATGTAAAAAACGACTGTCTAACACCCGAGGCCGAGGCATCTGTTTAAATAATTACCACAATTCTAATTTAATAAAGTAATTTATTTGAACTTCAATACAGAGTGAACACGTGGTGTTTATATTACACAAGCCTGCAAAAAAATAAAAATTTCTGTTGCCTGAGATCAAGAAGTCATTTCCCGTAGTATTTGGTGCGCTGAATCCGAATCTGGCAACGAAAACCTCCCATCACGTCAGGATTTTGAGAAAAGTGGGGACAAATTCCCAAAAATCATGTTTTTCGCTGTTTTTGTAAATCTCTACCGGGTAAATCCGACGTGCTAGAGACTTGTCATAGGAGTCAAATTAAAGCCTAAACCCTGTACTTTAAGAAGATAAAGCGATATTGCTAACAACAAACTAAATTAGCTGTCAAAAATGATTTCTTTAACAGTTGTCAAGTATAAAAATTGACTGATACTGACCGTAAATAAAACTATTTGAAAAATGATTGAATTCGATTAAAATTTGTTACTCAGGGGTTTTTGGGATCGCTAATTAGGAATATGTTGTTAAATTATTAAAATTTAAAATGTCGGATCCAATATGGCGGACTTATTTTTCAGAATTGATCAAATTCACTTGAAACTTGTTACTCGGGGGTTTTTGGGGTCGTTGATTATGAATCCAACTACAGATTTTTTATTTTGACATCATATTTGTAAGCAACGACCCCGAAAACCCCAAACAATAAATTCTAAGCGAATCCAATCATTTTTAGGGTTCCGTACACCTACGGTGTATCGGCGGAACCCTATTGGTGAGACTCTTGTGTCCGTAGCCAAATCGTGTCCCCCCCTAGCGGCTAAACTATTTGACCTAAAGAGCACAAATTTGGTCCAGATATGTATTTTCACTCGTATATTACAGGAAAAATATAGCGAATATGATTGGACGTGATGGGCGTTGTCAAGGAAATAACAAGATTGTTGGCCAAAAATGCATAAAAAGTGACTATTCCCCCCCTTAACTTTTAAACTATTAGACATAGAGAGCTGAAATTTTGCATGCTGGTGTATTTTTACTCAAATATTACAGGAAAAATATAGAGAACTTGATATGTAATGATGGCCATAGCGTTGTCAAGGAAAAACTAAAAAATTAAAAAATAGTTATTTATGATACAAGTGCGTAAAATCGTTGATTATACGAGTGTGACGTTTGCAGCTCGAGCCGAAGGCGAGTGCTGCAAGTCACACAAGTATAATCTGATTTACGCACGAGTGCCATACGAAATTTTTTGCAACACTACAACAACTAATCTTGCAGCAATATTGCCAATATTACTGTAAGTTAAGGTGTAGTGGGGGCACTGTTAAATGAAGTTTTCTAGAAACTAAAATAAAAAAATGTGATTGCAAATTGTTGTTTAAAAGCTTAACTTCATTGTTTCTCATCAAACAGTCACAAGAATACGTTAAGTAACCATTTTACGCACTAAAAATCACTTTACACACTGGAATTTACTTTACACACTGCTAGCGGTGTGTAAAGTAAAACTTTACACACCGCTATAAAAAGAAGTACTTTACACACAGTTTTCTGTGTGTAAAATCCAATTTTACAGGTTAGTGTTGCAAAAAAAAATTTTTTTCCTAATTTTTACATTGTTTGACCTAATGAGCTAAAAATTGGTATCCTAGTGTATTATTACAGTCTGACGACAAAAAATTTATTTAAGTTTTTTAAAAAAAATTTTAAAAAAATTTTTTTAGTTTAAACACGTGGCATTAAATATTTTAAGAAAGAGTGAAATTTTAAGAGAATAAATGAGAGATTGTTTTCTGACTTTAATTTCTTAACTAAAAATAAAAAAAAATTGGACAAGTGCGAGTTGTACTCGCACTGCAAAGGCGGGTTCCGTACACAAATATTGAAATAATACTTGCAACATTTATCGGTGATTGGTAGAATTAAAATAAACAATTAAAAAAATATATTAAAATCATTTCATAAAAAAAATATTTAAAAAAAATTAAAGTATTGTATATCTAATATTGTAAACAATAATAAGCAGAGGAACTATAATTTTGAAAATTTTGTTCCTCTGCTTATTATTGTTTACAATATTAGATATATACAATACTTTAATTTTTTTAGTTATCTTTTTTTTATCAAATGATTTTAATATATTTTTTTAATTGTTTATTTTAATTCTACCAATTACCGATAAATGTTGCAATTTGACTACTATGACAAGTCTCTAGCACGCCGGATTTACCCGATAGAAAGTTACAAAAACAGCGAAAAACATGATTTTTGGGAATTTACCCCCACGTTTCTCAAAATCCTGACGTGATGGGAGGTTTTCGTTGACAGATTCGGATTCAGTGCACCAAATACTACGGAAAATGACTTCTCGATCTCAGACAACAAAAATTTTAATTTTTTTGCAGGCTTGTGTTATTAACCCATTAATTCCCATGAAGAAACCAGCTATTGTATTAAAAAAAACGAAATTCTTATAAACAAATTATGCTGGATAAAGGGTGTTTCATCCCAAGCTTAAACAAATGGATTTTAAGTAAAACTAACTATTGGATTCATAGGCAAATAGAAAAAAAATATATGCCTTTTTTTGTATTTAATTTCCAATTGTTTAACAACAATTGTTAAAACAAAATAATAAAAATACAAAATTTTTGAATACTGTTAACGCCAATCGATTCTATTTTGAAAAATAAGAATGTTTTGTGATGATTATATCATTTCTTCCAGTTTGGGATGAAACATTCTTTACCCAGCTTAAATTGTTTATAACAATTTTATAAGCAAAAGACGACTTATCGAAAAAAATGACCTATACAAAACATTCTTATTTTTCCGCGTAGAATCGATTGGCGTTAACAGTTTTCAAAAAATTTTTAATTTTTATTAATTTGTTTAAACAATTGGAAATTAAAAACAAAAAAACAGGTATATATTTTTTTCAATTTGCCCATGAATCCAATTGTTAGTTTTTTAATACAATGGCAGGTTTCTTCATGGGACTTAATGGGTTAAAGATGGCTATCAACCAAGAAGACTAGAGACAGGAGGGCTAACTGCAGTAGTTGGGGTAGGACAAAAAAGGGGGTTTATGAAGGCGTTGGTGGATTGCGCCAAATGTAGTGATTTCATTCTGCACATCACGCACACACGTAAATAGACTTGTATGTGATTTGTTTTGAAATTTCTATTGGTGTTTTTCACGTTTTATGAATTTCATACGTAAAATAAAGTGTAAATAAAAATTATTAAAATGACAAAGTGTTGTGTTCTAAATTGTAAAAGTGAAACTGAAAAAAATGATAGAACGTTATTATCTTTTCCGAAAGTCGAGGTATGTCACATTTTATTTTGTGATTATTATTAATTATGTTTTTATTACAGAATTGTTATTTAACTAGTAATGATTATAAAAAATGTAAAAAACTTGAATAATTGTTATACTAATTATATAATTCTATTAACGGATCTTTTATTTATGAATAGTGATTTTATATTTTAGTCATCTAAAGTGGAATGGTTAAATGCTGTTGGCAATAACCTCAAAAAGTCCAGTAGTAAGCAACTTTTCATTTGCAGTAAACATTTTACTGAAAATTGCTTTAACCCTTTAACGCCCAAATGTGCTGTTTTCCAACTTGAATTTTAACTTCATACAACTATTAAAAGAAAGCTAAAAAAATTTCAAAAGTACCATTTCCTACTATTTTCGGGGTCGCTCTTTCGAATGGCGTTGTCGAAATTTCCAAAAAATAAAATTAACCCCCTCTTTTAATGAAATTTTCCAAAAAATGCAAGATTTTTTGATGAAATTTTTTTTTATTGCAATTTTCATTGTTATATCGGTATCTACATATCGTCTAAGGTATAAAAAGCGTATTTCTGATAGCTGTACTTAAAAAATGTGCAGTAGTTTTTTTTCATTTTTTCATTTTTTATTAAAAAATGGCGCCCGAACGCTAAATTTTTTTTTTATTACACTTACAAATTTTTTTTCTAAATTTGCTTAAATTCACTTGAAATTTGTTACTCGGGGGTTAATGGGGTCGCAAATTTCGAATCTGATGTTAGTTTTAAAAAATTCAAAATGGCGAATTAAATATGGCGGACGATTTTTTTAAAATTTACCAAATTCACTTGAAATTTGTTACTCGAGGGTTTATGGGGTCGCTAATTACGAA